TTTGAAGGCATAGTCCAAATTTCAAGCCGATACGATATATAGATCTCGAGATATATCACTTCAAAAATTATACCCGTGTAAGTGGGTATTGACATAACGGTTAAAACACGCTCACGTTAAAACTAAGCAAATGAAATCAACCAAATTCACTGAGAATCTTCATTGTTTTCCTAACTAGTTTGGTATTGCAAATCAGCAAAATCGGTTCACAACGTAAAAAATTATGAGTAAAAATTTTAGACTACCTCAAAAAAATTAAGTTTTTTTTCCCTAATTCTTGAGTAGTTTCCTCAGAAACTACCAAAGATAATTCGACAGATTTTATTACACATTATTTTTTCCATCTATAGATTAATTATGTTTAAAATTGTAACAATCGATCCAAAATTTCCCATAGCCCCCATACAAAGCTACATATTCCCGGAAATTAATTTATCGTAAATAACTTCCTCAAATATATCGGTATCAACACAAAATTTTGATATTATATGAACAGGAATCAAAACTACCGACTTAGATCTGTATCGGACCACAATTGGTCATAGCTCCCATATAAGGTCCACTTTAAAAAATCACTTAAATGAACATATTTTATTGATAAATAAAGCTATCGGGATAAAATTCGACATGAATATGTTTTGTATATACATAAATCATTCTACGAAATTTGTTCCGGATTGGTCCATAATCGGTCATAGCTCCATCCGAAAATCACTCAAATGCGCATAATTTATTGATTGATAAAGCTATCAGGGTAGAACTCGAGGTGAATATGTTTTGTATATAGATATAAATCATTCGGTGAAATTTTTCCCAGATCAGTCCACAATTGGTACTAGCTCCCATATAAGGTCAACATCCTAAAATCACTTAAACAAGCTTAATTCATTGATAAATAAAGCTATCGGGATAAAATTCGTCATGAATATGTTTTGTGTATAAATATTAATTACATTACGAATTTTTTTTCGGATCGGTACATAATTGGTCATAGCTCCCATATAAGGTCCACATCCGAAAATTACTTAAATACGCATAATTCATTGATAAATAAAGCTATCAGGGTAAAACTCGACGTGAATTTGTTTTGTATATATGTATATATATATATATAAATCATTAGTGAAAATTTTCCACATCGGTCCATAATTGGTTACATTCCATATAAGGAATTTTTTCAGCATCGGTCCATAACTAGCTCCCATATAAGGTTCACTTCTGAAAACCACTTAATACCACATAATTTATTATTAAACTTGACATGAGTATGTTCTGTGTATAGATAAATCACTTTGATTATTATACCCTTCACCACCATGAGTGGTGATAGAGGGTATATATAACTTTATCATTCCGTGTGTAACACCAAGAAATATTCATCTGAGACCCAACAAAGTATATATATTCTTGGTCCTTATGAAATTCTGAGTCGATTAACTATGTCCGTCTGTCTGTGTAAAACACGTTCACGTAAAAACGAAGTGATATAAATTATTGAAATTTGGCCAGCATATTCCCTATTGTCCTATGGTATTGAAAATGAGCAAAATCGGTTCCCATCGGGAAAAGTTATGAATCAAAATTTAAAACAACTCAGAAAAAATGAGCATTTTTTACACATTCTTATGCAATTTTCACGAAAACTTTGCAATATAATTACATGAAAATCATCACACATTTGTTTTTACACGAGAACTTTATTCTTCCTCCCATACAAAAGTACATACAAAATGAGATTATTGTTAATAACTTCCTTCAGAATGTTGATATCTTCAAACAATTTTACAAATTAAAATTCTATGTCAATAGAATTCATATAGAGAAAATTTTTTCTGGATCGGTCCATAATTGGACATAGCTCCCATACAAGGTCCCCTCCCGAAAAGCACTTAAACGCACATAACTCATTACTAAATCAAGATATCCATATAAAATTTGGTACAAGTATTGCTCTTATATACAGAAATGTTACTGTGAATTTTTTTTTTCCGATCGGTCCTTAATTGGCCATAGCTCCCATACAAGGCCCTCTTACGAAAATCTCTTAAGCCCACATTACTCATTACCAGGGCAAGCAAAAATATGCTCTAAAAAAAGTGTTTTATGCGCATAAAAATGCTCTTAAAAACTAAAAATATGCTCTAAAGATATACAAAATATGCACTTAAAATTTCCCATTTTCCAAATGAAAACACCGTTTTTACCATTTTTGAGACCTTATAAAAGCGGGAAGAACCATTCATTTATAAAATCCGTTATGTTATCTGAAAGTCCAATCTGTACTGAAACATTTAACATAATTTTGAGCTCGAGAGGCCAATTCGAGGGGTACGGTTGTAGATCGATTTCAGCCCTTTTACACAAGCTTCATTCTTGTGTCATCAAAAAGTAATTTAACTATATGAATTTATTTTTAGGGAATGGGTTTAAAATTTTATTTACCCCATTATAACAACTTGGCAATAACTAAAGGTAGGATTTTATAATGCAGATAATTCATTTCTAGTCATTTGAATTGTACTTTAGTTAAAGGACATCGGTAAAGCACACGGAGACCTTTCCGCCAGCTTACCTTCCCGTATACATATAATAACGAGATACAAATTATCGGGGTTATAAAATCCTATCTTTAGTTATTCATTAATTTCCCAAAAAAATTTTTCAATCTGTTTTTATTTGAAAACAACATTATAAAAAAATATGCGATTATGAGTAAGATATGCGGAAATATGCTGTAAAATTTAAAATATGCAAAAATATGCTGTAAAGAACAAAATATGCAAAAATACGCTCTTACAAATCTATGCGAAAATTCGTTAAATTGTCTGAAATGGATAAATAGCCTACTTGCGTGTCCATATGACGCGCAGCAAAAAATATGATATTGCATATTTTTGGTTGCCCTGCTCATTACCAAATAAAGCTATTGTTACAAAATGTTGCACAAATATTAGTTAAGATTTTTTCAAGATCGGTTCATAATATGGGTGCGATCGGTCCCATACAAGGTTCCCTTAGGAAAATCTCTTAAACACACATTACTTATTACTAAATTACGATATATATACAAAATTTGACTGAAATATAGCTTCTATATACAGAAATGTTACTTAAAGATTTTTTACGATCGGTCCATAATTGGTCATATCCCCATACCGATCGGCTCTCATACAAGGTCCCCTCCCGAAAATCACTTTAACGCACATAACTCATTACTTAATTAAGATATCCATATAAAATTTGGTACAAGTATTGTTTTTATATACAGAAATGTTACTGTGAAATTTTTTTCCGATCGGTCGTTAATTGGTCATAGCTCCCATTCAAGGTCCTCTTACGAAAATCACTTAAACGCACATAACTCATTACTTAATTAAAATATCCATATAAAATTTGGTACAAGGTTCCCTTACGAAAATCTCTTAAACACACATTACTTATTACTAAATTACGATATATGTAGATACAAAATTTGACTGAAATATAGCTTCTATATACAGAAATGTTACTTTAAGATTTTTTACGATCGGTCTGTAATATCCCCATACTAGGTCCTGCCCGAGAATTTGAATTTCCTTAAATCTTTCACACAAATTATTAAATATCGTTAAAGCATATCTTAGGGCGCTTTAAAAATTTAAAAGAAATTAATTGTAACAGATTTAAGCTGTTTAAATCTTGGGGTTTTTCTATTTAAGACATGATAAATCTTATTTCTACAAATATTTGATCAATTAAAAAAGTATTAATATAAAAGTAGCTGGTGCCGAATATAGCACTCTTACTTATTTTTTTCACATATGAGCCTTTACATCCCACAAACTGACCACAAAGCTCTTAAAGGAAATGGTTCAAGCTTTCTTTTGAGTGAAGAAAATACAAAAAAATAAAAATGCCAAATATTGAAAAAAAAAATTATTCCTGAGCTAAAAAATTATTTTTTTGGAACTATAAAGCCCTTTAATGAAATTGTATAAGCTTTTTTTTAATCAAAACAAAAAGGACCCATTTTGAAAAAAAATAATTATTTAAAAAAAATCAAAAAATTTTTAAGAAATAGCTATCTGAACTCCTTTGGACAATTTGTGCTTTTATTTTGAAATTCCAAGTGGGCTAACTGTCACGCCCACTTACTAAATAAGTATTAAAAGTAGTATTTCTCAGAAACTGGGTAGAGTCCTCTAATTATGCACGAAGAACTTTGACACATATTTGAATTCTGGGGGAAAATGGGAAAACTAGCATCCCACGCCTATATTGCTAGCCAATACAAAGGACGTAAATTTGGAAAACTATAACAGCTACAGTTCCCAAATTTTGTACGATAAACTACAGTGTCAATATACATAAAAAATTTGTGCAAATTGGGCGGATAAGAAATAGTGGTCGTGTCATCCCCCATATAAAGTTAGTATCAAAATTCGTATATCTGGAAAACTCGTATCCCTCGTGTCCCTCCCATTAGAATTAAATAAAAAATCGTATATCGGGGAAACTATTAGAGCTTTAATGCTCAAATTTTGTAAAAAAATTGACATCCATGTTAGTATTTGCCTAATAAATTGGCGGTCACGGGGGCTTGATTTGCCCCCGTATCGGGGAAACTATTGGAGCTAGAATGCTCAAATTTTTCACGAACAGTTTTGACATTCATGTAAACAATTGTATAATAAATTGTGGGATAACGGGAGCGTGGTGAATTAAATACAAATCGTATATCTAGGAAACCATTATAGCTAAAATCCTCAAATTTCTTACATGCAATACCGAAAGCCATGTGAACAATTCGCGGAAAATAACCGGACTATGTAACAGGTTCCACTAGAACCTACCTTAGTTTTAATGTGTTTACTATGGCATTGAAATGTTGACAAAACAACTGTCTTTTGTTCGATGAATTTAATATCGTAAAGGGTTTTTTATTTATATTGTTTCTAGGGAAGCGAAGCACACTGGGTTATCTAGTAAATAATAAAAAACAAAAAGTTCACTTTACTTACAGCATTGCAGGTATTGATATCTGTAATTTGGCCACTCTCTAAGAACTCCACCACTTTACTTAGTTCGCCACTGCGAGCAGCTCTTAAAAATGATATTGTAGCATCATTCTGAAATGTTAAAAATTTGTATATATTATTTTAAATTAAAAATTTATAATAATAGTTTTTTAAACTTTTCAGGGGACTGCCCAGAAATATATTTAACAATGATAAATTAATAGAGTTCGTCTAAAATTAAATGAAATTATTAATTATTATACCCGATTGATAGAATTTTATTATCAAACCGAAGCTTTCCGCATGAAATTCGGTTAGAAGATTTGAGTTCCTATAAAAGTTCTTAAATCAAGTTTCATAACTCTACAGTGTACACGTATTTTTAAGCCAAAAATGGTCGTTAAAGTAATTTTCTGAAAGGAACTCTATATGCGGGTAGGGTCAATTATGGACCGATCCTCAATAAATTTGGTAAAGAGATTTTAACTCATATAAAACTTATGTGTGTCGAATTTCATTTTCTGAAGAGGATCTTATATGGGGACCAATCATATGCCGAATGTCATAAAAGTCAGTAGAGAGGTTTTGGCTTATAAGAAACTTACTTATGTCGAATTTCATCTCAATACTCGCACTTTTAAGTCAGTAACGAGCGTTAGAATAATTTTCTGAAAGGAACCTTAAAGGGGGAAAGATAGGGTCAATTATAGATCCACATAAAATTTGGTTAAGAGATTTTGGCACGCAAGGAACTTACTTTAGTCGAATTTCATCGCTATACTTTTATTTTAAGCCAGCAATGAGCGTTAAAGTAATTTATGAAGGGAATCTTATAAGGGGAGTATACAAGTTGGTAGAGAGATTTTAGCTCGCGAGGAACTTACATGTGTCAAATTTTATCTCGTAATTTTTAACCAGTAATGAACGTTAAAGTAATTTTGTTAGTGTTTATAAACCGGTTAACCGAAAAACCGGTTTTTATTGCTTATTTCGGTTTTTCGCAAACCGGTCTTTTTAAAACATTGGTTTCGGTTAACTGGGTTATGCGGTTTTTAAGTCTCGGTTAACCGGTTTCAAAAAATCAAATTTTTAGTACAAAATTGTATATTTTCTTTGATTTTTATTGTGATTTTTAAAAATTTTGGATAGATAATTCTAAACATTATTTTCCGTTTGTGCATATGAAGACAGACCAAAGATTGTTAAACAAATTTTAGGAAATGTTAAACATATATTATGTATATCAAATGGAGATTTCCAATTTCGGGCAATCAGGAAATTAGTAAAAAGTTGTCATTTAAACCAGAGGAGCTCAAGATTGCCATTTCATAGCACGCGTGATAGCGTAAGAAAATTCTGCTGACGCTAAGTTGATGTTGTATGTTGTTGTGTAATACATTATAGGTTTAATTCTTCTTCTTTTTATAATGAGCAATATCAGTTGGTTTGCACTCAACTTGAAAAACAAAATCAAATCAGTTGCTGATCAGCACTTGTCGAAGTAAGGTTTGTGCGCGATTTTTTTACAATACACACAGAAATACTACAACAAAATTTTGAGAAAGCCGAATTAATGTAGGAGAACATGAGAGAACAGTTGATAGTTGTTTACATATAGACTTTGATATACGCTGGCTGTCAAAATCCATAATAAATATTTGACTGTTAGCATATACTTTATAGTTTGTAGTAATTTTATTAGTATACTTTTATTTTGAATTGAATTCTGTTCTCTGCTGCTTTACCAACATAAATAAAACTATGGTAGTATGTGTTTGAGCACCACTGATTTAAACCAATAAAAATTTAACTATTTCAACAAATTCCAATCATTATATGAAGAAATTTGTTATTTATTAAGACGAATAAATAACATTGATGATAAAATGCAGGATGCACTTACTTTTTTACTGCTTGAGTATAATAAAAATCGAGAAGTTTCTCAAACGTTCTCCAAACGGACTTTACTTATCGAAATATAAGGGTTGTTGTCGCTGTCCGAGAATTTATGCTGCTGGCGTTTTTAACAAACTGTAATGGCGCTTAGGTTGATTGACAGGAAGTCAGAATGTGCCGATCCTACCGATAACTTATATGGGAACTATGACCAATAATGGACTAATTCGAAAAAAAAAAATAATCAAAATGATTTATCTATACACAGAACACACTCATGTCGAGTTTAATAATAAATTATGTGTTATTAAGTGGTTTTCAGGAGTGAACCTTATATGGGAGCTAGTTATGGACCGATGCTGAAAAAATTCCTTATATGGAATGTAACCAATTATGGACCGATGTGGAAAATTTTCACGAATGATTTATATATACATATACGAAACAAATTCACGTCGGACCGATCCGAAAAAAAATTCGCAAAGTAAATAATATTTATACACAAACATATTCATATCGAATTTAATTCCGATAGCTTTATCTATCATTGAATTAAGCTTGTTTAAGTGATTTTAGGGAGCTATGACCAATTGTGGACCGATACAGATCTAAGTCCGTAGTTTTGATTCCTGTTCAAATAATGTGAATTTGTACAAAATTTTGGGTTGATACCGATATATTTGAGGAAGTTATTAACGATAAATTAATTTCCGGGAATATGTAGCTTTGTATGGGGGCTATGGGAATATATATATATATATATATATATATTTGTTTGTTTGTATGTTTGAACGTTTTGCAGCTTTTTGTCGAGATACGAGTATATTATACTTAATTATGAAATTAAAAGCCATATTAGTCCGGTTCAGTTGTATGGGGGCTAGGTGAAATAATGGACCGATGTTAACCATTTTCAATACACTTCGTCTCCGGTGCCATAAAAGATCGTGTGCAAAATTTCATTGAATTATCCTCAAAATTGCGAGCTGTAGTTTGATTACAAGGTTTACAAGCCCTATTCTGGGGTTCGGTTGTATGGGGCTAGGTGAAATAATGGAACGCTGTTAACCATTTCCAATAGACTTCGTCTCTGGTACCATAGAAGATCGTGTGCCAAATTTCATTGAATTATCTTCAAAATTGCGAGCTGTAGTTTGATTACAAGGTTTACAAGCCCTATTCGGGGGTTCAGTTGTATTGGGGCTAGGTGAAATAATGGACCGATTGTAACCATTTTCAATGGGCTTCGTCCCTAGGACAATAGAAGATCATGTACCAAATTTCATTGAATTATCTTCAAAATTGCGACCTGTAGTTTGATTACAAGGATTACATGGACGGACGGGCATAGCTAAATCGACTCAGAAAATGATTCTAAGCCGATTGGTATACTTTAAGGTATATGAACAATATTATTGTGCGTTACAAACATCAGCACAAACCCAATATACCCTCCCCACTAAAGTGGTGTAGGGTATAAAATATAAGCACACCAGAAGTTAAGAAACTATGGAGCGTTAATTGACATCCAAACAGGTAAAACACCAAAAACAGGCTCCTGTCGCCATAAATAAGTCCTTAAGTGAATGGGCAGCCCGGAGAGCTCTTCGTAGAATTGGCCTTATATCAGGCGTAAAGCAGAAAACACCAGCGTTATCAGAAAAAAAATGTGAAGGATCGTCTTAAATTTAGCAAGAAGCACAAAAATTGGAGTGTTAATGACTGGAAAAATGGTTATATGGTCCAGTGAAGGGTTATATGGTCCGATGAAACGAAGACTAATCGTTTTCAGTCTGATGGCAAGGAATATTACTGGCACCGCCCTTATGAAAGCTTAAAAAAGAACCAAGTAAAAGAAACGCTGAAACATGCGGGTGGTAATCTGATGCTGTGGGATTGTTTCACTTGGTAGAATCTCGGTTCTTTAGTAAAATTAGATGCTATAATGAAAAAGGACGATTATTTGAGCATTTTCAATCCAATATTCCAGATTTTGTGGAAGAATGTGCATATCCAGAGTCAGAGGTTATGCTCCAACTTTCAGCGCAGAATTTTCAAACGATGCAATAGCCAACTCAATGCCCGGAAATCAATCCAATTGAAAATTTATGGGCTTTGTTAAAAAAACGTCTTGCGCAATTCGATAATGCACCTAGAAATCTTAAAGAACTTTGGTCGAGAGTACAAACGGAGTGGTCTAGTATTCCGCACCGGACCATTGAGACCTTAGTCAAAAGTACGCCTAAATGTATAAAAAGTGTCATAAAAGCAAAAGGACTTTACACAAAATATTAAAAATCAAAATTTTTTAAAACGTTTAAACGTGCAAAACTGGATACTTCGACTTTATTTATAAATATGTTTTAATCTTTAGATGAATGAATTTAATTTTGTTTTCTTTTTATATTGTTTTACTGAATATTTTAAATTGAAAACTTAATTATTTTTCCTTTATTTTATGGGTTTTATAGCATTTTTAAGTCTTATTGGCTAAACATGTACGCAGTTTTGCTCGCGACTGTATATATATATATACTTTGTTGGGTCTCAGATGAATATTTTTTGGTGTTACACACGAAATGACAAACTTATTACCACTGATGGTGGTGGACGGTATAATGAAACAGAGTGTTTTAAAGGAGGAAAAGAGAATATGTTTTTTTATTATACCCTCCACGACCATGAGTGGTGATAGAGGGTATACATAAATTTGTCATTTCATGTGTAACACCAAGAAATATACATCTGAGACCCAACAAAGTATATATATTCTTGATCTTTATGTGTCTGTGTAAAACACGCTCACGTAAAAAACGAAGGGAAAAATTGTTTAAAATTTGGCCCGAATATTCCCTATTCTCCTAGGCAGTTTGGTATTGAAAATGAGCAAAATCGGTTCACATCGGGAAAAGTTATGAAACGAAATTTAAAACAACTTAGAAAAAAATAAGCATTTTTTACACATTCTGGTGAAATGAAAACTATGCACTATAATTACATGAAAATAATCACACATTTGTTTTTACACGAGAACTTTATTCTTGTTGAAAATTGCCGGAATCAATCCATAATTTCTTATACCTCCCATACAAAAGTACATATTTCCGGAAAATTAGATTATTGTTAATACTTCCGTCAGAATGTTGATATCTTCAAACAATTTTATGTATTAAATATCTATGTCAATAGAATTCATATAGCGAAAAAATTTTCTGGATC